AAAAGGCATGACTTGCTGGAAGTTAACAGCATCTACTTGCATGCAAAGGACACATAAGCTAAAGTTCTGGCATGCTCTGAGGAACAGCAAATGAGACCCCTGCAATATCAGCCACTCTACTAATAATAGCTACAAAAGCTCTGACGATTGGACAAAAGTGGTTTTTCACCCATCCCAGGCATGCCACTTCTTCCAAATTTAGTGAACTAGGGCTGGATTAATATGATTTCATTGAAAAGAAAGTCGTCCCTAACAGCTTGCACCGACCTTGTCTCTGCTGGAGGCTTGAGGAATAAGACAATGTAAAGGATGAGAAACAGAGTGTTCATTCATATATACAAAAAAAGCAAATGAGAAATCAACAGAAATGTTGACCACAATCTCTAGAAGAGCCATCTTGGTAACGAGCAGAGGTGAAAAAGCACCTGCTTCCATACCCCCATTTCAAACCTTCTCAGGCTGCTCGGGGCCAAAGGCCAGGCCTTCCCACACCCTTCTGTGCATGGATCTTGAGTGTCCCTCGCAAAATGCTGGCTCTTCTGTTGTTGTTTTTGGAAAACAAATGCTTCCTTCCAAGATTCCCCCTCCCCGTTAATATCTGTGTTCAGGACTTGGAGTCCCTGGACACATTACAATGGATTTGTCCAGGTTTGAGATCTCGATTTTGTGATTTCCTCCCCATCTTCCCGGTCTCTCTGGACCCCACTGAGTTATGATCCAACCTTCCACTGCCTGCAGAATGCTTAACTGATCCCACACCATGCCTCATTCTTCCTCCACGCTTCCCTCGCCGCCAGGATGTGGCTCTCAGCAAATGTGGTTTTTTTCTCATTTTGATCACTTCCCAAACCCATTTTAAAAAGACAGCATGCCGCTAGCCCCAACACTAGCCCTCCACAGACAGCGAGTCTCGTCCTCCATTTTCTACACTCCTCTCTCAACTCAGGAACTGGGTTTAACCCAGATGGCCACCCCTGGGATCAGAGCCTCAGATTAATTTTTACAAACATAGCATCCTACCCAGCATATCAAGTTATATCCCCCCTCACCTGTGTATAACACCCTTTGTTAGCTCCACTACAAGCCATTGACTTCTATGATACCAAGAAGATCTAGGGCGGGGTGCAGTGGCTCATGCCTGTAATCCCAGCACCTTGGGAGGCCGAGGCAGATGGATCACTTGAGGTCAGGAGTTCAAGACCAGCCTGGCCAACATATTGAAACCCTGTCTCTACTAAAAATACAAAATATAGCCAGGCATGGTGGTGCGTGCCTATAGTCCCAGCTACTTGGGAAGCTGAGGCAAGAGAATTCCTTCAGCCCAGGAGGCAGAGGTTGCAGTGAGCTGAGATTGCACCACTGCACTCCAGCCTGGGTGACAGAGGGAGACTCCATCAAGAAAGAAAAGGGAAAGGGAAAGGGAAAGGGAAGGAAAGGAAAGGAAGGAAAAGAAAGAAAAGGAAGGAAGGAAGGAAGGAAAGAAAAGAAAGAAAAGGAAGGAAGAAAGAAAGAAAAGGAAGGAAGAAAGAAAGAAAAGGAAGGAAGGAGAGAGAAAAGAGAAGGGAAGGGAAGGGAAGGGGAGGGCAGGGGAGGGCAGGGGAGGGAAAAAAGAAAAAAGAAATGTGGCAAAATGAAGCCAAAACAGTCCACCTGAGTCGAGTCTGGGACCCAGAAACTTCGGGAAAAAGTTCTGTTTTATCTGCAGCCTTGGAGGGGCAACCACATGGCTTTGCCTCTCCCTACTCCCTAACCCACCACATTGACAAACAGAATTGGTGCTGGGCTAATGAGTTACTACTTGACACAGTATCCCATCACTGTGTTGATGCCTGGGCACCTGCACTCCTCCCATGCTGCCCTGTGACTGTCGGCACCTTGAGGGCATGGGTTGCTTCTGCCCCCTCAGTGCCTCTCCAGGGACTTTCTCACAGAGGGAGCACTATCAGTGCTGGCTGCTTCTTTGGTCAGAAAGGAAGTTGATTGGGGGACTAACAATTGAGAATACACATTAAAATATTTCAGAAAGCAGACACAACAACCTCCTGTGTTTACACAGCACTGGTTAAGAATTAGATCCTTGCAACAACCTTCTAAGAAAAATAGGACAGGTATGAGTATGCCCATATCATAGATGAGGCAACTGAGGCTCTGAGAGATGGGATGACCTCCCCAAATCACCCGATGAATACCTGCAGAACCAAGGTTAGAAAGTCTCTCCTTCTGAGGACTCAACTAGCGCCGTGTCTACCAAAATGGAAAGCGGGGAGAGAAACCCAGAGATGGCTATTTTATGGGTGAGTATGTTCTCACCCTCGCCAACTCATCTACAACTTCAAGTGCAGGTACTACCTAAACTACAGATGTAAGTTCCAAACAGCTCATGTATAGGGGCACTGAAACTCTGAAGGCCAATATGACATTTATGCAAAACTATGCTCTAAAAAGCATAAGCATGTGAAAGGATAAAGGAGATACCAGACGAACAAAAGGCGAGCACTACTGGGGAAGCCAAGTCTAGGACTGAGCAGGTGAAGGTGGTAGAAAGACAAGAGATGTGGAGGTGTCTGGCCTGGTGTGGTCGCTCACACCTGTAATCCCAGCACTTTGGGAGGCCAAGGCAGGCAGATCATGAGGTCAGAAACTGGAGACCAGCCTGGCCAACACAGAGAAATCCTGTCTCTACTAAAAATACAAAAATTAGCTGGGCGTGGTGACGCTCATCTGTAATCCCAGCTGCTCGGGAGGTTGAGGCAGGAGAATTGCTTGAACCTGGGGGACGGAGATTGCAGTGAGCTGAGATCACACCACTGCACTCCAGCCTGGGCGACAGAGCAAGACTCCATCTCAAAAAAAAAAAAAAAAGAGAGAGATGTGGAGGTGTCATAGCATGTGCAAAGAACAGAGAGGGAGGCTAGGAGGAGGCATCAGAAGAGGGGGTAGAAGGAAGAGAGAAGAGAAGGAAAAGCATGAGAGTAGAAGGATGGGAAGGAAAGTAAAGAAGGAAAATAAGTGAGGGGAGGTTGAAAAAGGACACACTTTTCCTATGTCTCTAGGTTTCCCCTAAAAGAATTACCCTGGGGGATAGAAATCATAACATGGGCATTAGAGTTTTGCTCACCTCCTTTCCAAGGATCAGCAGCAGAGATTAAAACATAGGAAACAAGACACAAATAGAATGAGGTTAAGAAAACATTATTCAGATAAACCAGACAGAAAGGAGAAGACTATACTGGAGTTAGAAGGAAGACAGAAGAAAGAGGAGTGACAGGGTTGGCCAAAACAGGACCCCACCAGCAGGAAGCAGAAGCCTCCACCCAAAGTTGAAACTAGTGTCATGTTGCCAGGAAATCCAGAGAACATTAGTTAAGGAGGAACGGAGATCCAAAACAAAAATGGTGCCCGCATTTGAGGGCGGTGGTATTAAGACTGAGAGGACTGAAACCAGGAGACAAAAAACACAGCAGTGCAACTGAAAGGGAAAGACACAGCGTGGTCCTTGTGAAACTAAGACACTTCAGGCATGTGACCAGCGCTCCCACCACCAAAAATCACCTTTCGTTGGCAAAATGTTTGTAGCTAATATTCATGTTTGTGTTTGTTCATTGTTTAATAAGCATTTGTCCACCTGCTGTGGAGTTATTGTCCATTGTAATAAATCTATAAGAACAGAATCCACAGACTTTATTCTTCTCAAGCAGGGGACTCATGATGGTATCAGTCACATGCTGATATTTGATGAGTGATTTTTGATGGAGATAGCAGATCTGTTGGTGGTGAAAATGGTGTTAGCCCACAATGTAAATCAGAATGGTGTTGCTGACTATAATGATGGCACTGAGAGTGGGCATGGTGACGAGGGGGCAGGTGATCACAGTGGTGGTACAGAAGGCAACAAATATGGAATTCTGTTCACAGTGGGGAGCATGGAAACTATCATGATGGTAGTTACAGTAAGCAAGATGATCTTTGCCGTGGTAAGTCACCACTTACACAACTACACTATGGAGAGGTGTGTGTGTGTATGTGTGGTGTATATGAGAGAGAGAGAAGAAGGGTGGAGGGAAAGAAAGAGAGACCACCCACAGTTCACCCATGGTTAAAGTAGAGTACCATCTGCCACAGGACCTTCCCGAAGAGGCATCACAGATGGTCAAGGTCAATAGCCACTCCTTTCCTCTAAAATTGCTATGTTGCTGAGGCTGGTCTCAAACTTCTGACCTCAAGAGATCCTTCCACTTCTCCCCCAACAAAGTGCTGGGATTACAGGTGTCAGCCACTGTGCCTGGCCTCTGGGTAGATTTTTAAATTATGTATAGGCTATCCTGGATTTTAAAAAAAACAACCTCAAACATCATCTAAACTGTGTGGCTGTCAACCCAGATGTGCATCAGAACCTCCTGCGGATTTTTTGCCTAACACCGATGAGAACTTCATTCCATACCAACCAAGTAGGTCAAATTCCCAGAGATGGGACGCTGGCATGAACATTGTGAAAACACTTACCAGGTGATGTTAATCAATTCACCTGATTAAGAACCTTCTGATTTACAGAAGAGATAAGTGAAACCCACCACCACACAATATTTAGTGGCGGAATCATAACCAGAATCTCCACAGCAAATTTGGTGCTGTTTCCCCTGCACGCTGCTGATGCAGTCAGCATGGCTTGCGGCCTTCTCTCATTACTCTGTTCACTAAAGAAGTGTCTGACTGTACTAGGACTCTGAGAAAAGAGAGAAAGGAGGTGAAACAGAAAAATGAAGAACACGGACAGGGACAATGTGTTGCTTCTTGTGGAGCAAACCCAGCCAGTGCTCTGAGGTGGGAGGATCTCTCTCCCCACCCCAACTCTTCCCCGTTCCCCCCACATCATGGGTCGCTGGGGAGGCAAGTGTGATTTCAATTCCACAAAACCCACATCCCACCTGGCCCTATTCCCAAACTATCTGCATCCATCCGGCCCTCAGGAGGCCCACGACCCAGGAGAAACATGCTCATACTTTCTTGGTAGGAACTTTGATCTTCAAGAATTCTGCCTCTCTGGCCAGCACCTGCCACGGGGCGTGTATCCGGACAAAGACGGATCCCTGGCTTTTACTCTGCAAGGTACAAAGGAAGAACAAATGGAAACACTTGTAAGTACATAGCTTAAATTCCTGGTTCTCCAACTGTTCCACACAAGAAGCCCAACCCGTTGTTCTTCAGTGTCTCATTTTCGTTCTCTTTAAAAGTCACCGGGGACCAGTCCCTTCCCACCTGTACCCCGTTCATCAGTCTATTCCAAAAACGCTGTCGTCGAAAACAGTAGGATAGTGTTCCCAAAGTGTGGCCCCTGGAAGTTTGGTAGCTTCAGAGGAAAAAAAAAGAACAAGTTAAAACAATTTTGGTCACAGATTTGAAATATAAGCAATCATGATTTTCACGGAAATCTCGTTACACTCTTAATAACACGTGGTTGGTTTTCCTCTGCTCACATTTAGTGAATAGCCTGCAACTTGACTCCATTCACACATTTTTAGTGTTTATTGTTCAAGTTTGTATTTTTGTTCTACTATCATGCTGTTATAGCCCCAAACCACAAAAGTGATCTACTAGAGCCTAGAAGTAATACTGTAAATCATAATGACAATGGTACGATGCAAAATAATACCATAAACAGGGCTCCCACATGAATACAGAACATGAATCTATGTCTCAGAATAAGTGATTGTGTTGTGTGCTGATTTCTCTCAAAAAATGAAAAATAAGGACAGAAAATGCAGTGATGAGTATTTGAAAGTCAGGTTTTATTGACCCAGCAATTCATCTGGCCTTGTCACCATGTCTGTTACAAATAGGTGTCAGATTATGAGAGGAAGGCACCTCATCTTCAAATAAACACTCACTTTTTTTTTCAGAACAAGCACACACAGGGGAAAAACTCTTTACTTTCTGACATGAATTTAATTAATTTTGTCACTAAAAAACTAAAGAGGACCAAAACTAAGTAGGAAAAACTGGCAAGTCTCATTATTGGTGAGAAGTTTCTAAAACTACCTGCAAAATTAAGCACAAGTGTTGTGTTTAAACTCCTTCACTGTGTTCAGAGAGAAAGAACAAGCTGATAGCACAATCCTTCATTAAGTACGCCCTCTGATCTTGGTTTAGTGTTGAAGACTATATAGAAAATCTTCAACTCACAGGCTCTGACTGTCTGCATTTTCAGTTTGCCTGGCAGAGAGATAGATGGCAAATAGAAGACTACTTCTCCCACTAAAGAACACTGTCTATGGAGGTGCTCACATGTGTTTTTGAAATGATGAACAAAATAAAAAGATATTTTATGGCACTCATTAATGCAAGTGAAAACTATCTCTATTATTTTTCAATGGCAGCTCCAAAATATGTTCAGTAATTCAAACATCCAGAACCAAACCTCACTTTGAGAAAGAAAGCTCATTACTTACAAGGCAGAAAAATGAAGAATAAACCAAGATTTCACAAGGAGATTGGACTATGGTACAAAAGGCTTGGATAGTCTAGAGTTTGAAAATACTGAAAATAACAATCACCACAATGCATATTTATTGAGTGTGTATTATGTGCCAGAACTGAGTTAGGTGATCACGTGCATTAGCTCACACAATATTCGCAACTATGCTGTAAGGCCAGTACTACCACCACTATCTCTATTCTACAGTTGAAGAAACCAAGGCAGGGAACATGTAAATGATTTGCCCAAAGTTACACAGATAGTGCAATAAAAATAGTTTTCAGACATGACACAGTCACTCGGGATAACTAAGAAACACACCCAAGGACTGTAACACAACACAAAGTCATGCGTTTAGGCTAAAATCAAATCCAAGGGTCCATAAGGAACCTATGTGGTAGCCCTAAGATGAAACCTTCCCAATCCCAAGTGTGACATTGTTCTGACAAAATACCGAAAGTGGCCTTCAGTGAGCAATCTCCCCAGTTTTATCTTTGGTTATGCAGGACTACTGGACAGAATCATCAATCACTTGCTGCTACTTCTAACTGTAATTTAAGCTTTTCCAATTAAGTGAAAATAAGGGGAAAGAAAAGAAACCATCTGTGAAGCTGACCTGCAAGCCCAGCTCTCCGTCATGGCCCCAGAAATGATGTTTCTGGTGAAAGATGGCAAACAGCATCATCCCTCTCGCTAAGAGGAGATCATGACTATTATGAATGTTAACATATTACCCTTTGTCTTTATTTTCAAATTGTGATGAATGCTGTTTTAACTTTCTTTAGGGTTGGCTGCTCAAGTATGTAACAAATATCCATTAAGTGGGTGCAGATGTTCAAAGTTTGAGGTAGGGTTGGGAGGGCAAGGGTCAAATTCCAAGACTTTGGTGGCAGACTGCTAGCTGTCCCCTGACAGCCGTTCTCATGTTCTTCATTTTTAACAAAGCACATGGCCGTCCAGCATTAAGACCACATCTCCCTCGCGATTAGGTGTTTCCATAAACAATACTTCTGGCCAATGTCATGCGGTGGAAGTATCTGGTAACCTTCTTCAAAAACAGCAAGTAGGTGCTTTTTGCCCCTTCGTTTTCTTCCATCCCTCAACCTGCTGCCTGGAAGATGGACACAGACATTTTAGACCTTAAGGTTAAAGTCCGGGCCAGAAACAGCGAAGTGTCAAGAAAGAAACTGAGTCTGGCTCTAGGGAGTATCATAGCAGCCCTGGGCTGCCTGTAGATTTTTATGTGAAAGATAGAATTTTACCTTGTTTATCCACGGTGATTTTAGAGGCTCTATCAATTGCACCCTAATCTTACACTAAGCAATGCAAAATCATTTCCCAGGATGGGGTTGTTAACTTCCTCCAGCAAAGCACGCATCTCCACTATCCTCAACAGGAACTCGTTTTAAATGAAAACAAAAGCAGGAATGCAGTTTTGTGGATCTAGTCATGCTCCTTTCATGCTATGCAATAGTTACCTTCTCATAAAAAGGAAAAGATACCCACCAATGTGAAATATTAGCTGGTGTGACTCGCCGTGTCTCCAAAGAAAAAAATAAGTCCTTGAAAGCTAGGGAGCACAACCATCACCGAATGCATCGCCCAGGAATCTAAACCTGAAGGTTAACATGTATTGACTTAAAAAAAAATTTCCCTTGTCCCCTAGGCCACTCTGACATCCATTCAGCCCTGCTTGTGGGTGGAGGTTCTTGTAGGCATAGTAGGGGAGTAGAAGAGCTTGGAGCTTCCAAGTCGGACAGAATAAGATCTGAATCCTTAGTTATTGTGAATAGTCCTGCAATAAACATGAGGGTGCAGGTATTCCCTTGACATACTGATTTCTTTTCTTTTGGATGCATACCCAGGAATGGGATTGCTAGGTCATGTGCCAGTTCCATTTTTCGTTTTTGAGGGACCTCCATTCTGCTTTGCATAGTCGCTATATCAATTTACATTCCCACCAGCAATACCTGAGAGTTCCCTTTCACTGCATTCTTTCCAGCCTTTATTTTTTTGTCTTTTTTATAATAGCCATTCTAACTGGGGTGAGATGGTATCTCATTGTGATTCTGACTTGCATTCCTCGACGATTAGTGATGTTAAGCATTTTTTTCATACACCTATTGTCCATTTCTATGTCTTCTTTTGTGAAGTGTCTATTTAGATGCTTTGCCCAGTTTTTAATTAGATTATTTGTTGAATCAACCTAAATGTCCATCAAGAGAGGAATGGATGTTATATATATGCACTGGAATCATATTCAGCCATAAAAGGAATGATATCCTATTATTCACAGCAACATGGATGAGCCTGGAGGACACCATGTTATGTGAAATCGGCCAGACGCAGAAAGACAAACACCACATGTTCTCACTCGTATGTGGAAACTAAAGAATATTTGAGCTTATGGAAGTAAAGCATAGAATTGTGATGATTAGGGGCTGGGTAAAATGTGGGGAGGGGAGGAGGGGGAGAGGTTGGTTAATGGATCCAAAGTTAAGCTAGATGGGAGGAATACCTTCTAGTGTTCTGCAGAACTGCAGGGTGAATAGGATTAATATTATTGTATGTTTCCAAAAAGAAGAGAGGATTGTGAATGTTTACAACACAAAGAAATTCTATGTTAGGGGTGACAGATATGCTAACTACTCTGATTTAATCATTACACATTGCATACATGTATCAAACTATCACTCTGTATCCCATAAGTATGTACAGTTCTATCAACTAAAAATAAAAGGAGAAATTATATTTGTGACAGCGTTATTCCTAATAGCAGAATACTGAAAACAACCAAAATAAATTATGGAACAAGATCAGAAAGGGAACAAAAACTATCGAGGTTTTTGTATAGCTTCCCTCATAGTTTAGAGACTCAGATAGAATCAGTATTTCCTACTAATTCTAGAATCTTCACCACCTGAAAATAAAGGGAGACCATGTCTCAATTATTAAGAAAAAAAAATGATTTGCCTCCGGAATTTAGCAGCTGTGGGAGCTTAGGCAAGTCACTTAACCAAATGAGCCTCACTTTCTTTATCCGAATAAGGAGCATGAAAAATGTTGCATGGCTGTTGTGAGAATTGCAGATGAAGTAGGTGAAGCCGTGCTAGTGCTCCTGAAATGTGGAGAAATGTCAGGTGTTACTATAGCAATTAGCTCTACCCCAGTAAAATGACTGCTTCTTGACTGCAGGACAGTAACTGAAACTTCTTTTGTATTCTTCAAGCACCTACCAAGAGGCTGCACACACAGCAGGTCCTCACTGGGGAAAACCAGTTCCCGTTAGATTAAAATTGTGAATGAGTAATCCTGGTTCCTTTATTGCCTTGCACTTTTAAAATTATCTACAAGATTTTCAAAATATCCCACATGTCCTAAAGGAAATCACAGGTTCAAAATACAGTGCACCTCCAGAATTTGGGGACAAGGTCAGAAAATATAACTTGCTGAAATCGACAGGAAATTTAACACAACATTAAGAGATCAGCCATCAGAGGATATAACCCATCCCTAAAGAAGATGTTATAAGTAAGTAATCAGTATGACTGGAGGGGCTCCCAAATCCCAACAGGCAACTAAAACTTCAGTTCATGTAAAATGAGCTGTAACACATAATTTGGTCCT